GGTGCGTTCAATGCGTCAGTTAAACACCTACTACAAGTCGCTCTCGTGCTAAAAAGTGAACGTTTCTAGATTCTAATGCGATTGCCATCCGCTTTTCGTGTCCTGCCTTTGAGTTCATATAAGTTTTATAATCACCAAATAGTTATCGGGCCTGAAAAGTTCTTCTTTTACTGAGTTACTTCAATATCATTGGAAGTTAGTGCAAAAAAACTGCATGATATCTTCCGAAGTTTTTCTCTCTTGTGGTCTTCTGTATATCCTATCCTCAGGATGTCAAGTTACTCTATTCTCCCTCAGGAGAGCTTCACATCTCTAAGAATGGCTGGGAAATAGACTCCAGCGCACGTTTAAAGGCTTTGGGTAAATTTCTATACGCACATTTCTACATTTTTCGCGAAGACAAATGCTTGTCAGGATATACTAGTGAGATCCTCCGCTCCTATTTGCAATCCGAGGAACAAACGATTTGTTTCCTATGCTAATCGTCTTTGATTAACTTTCGTCTCGCAGACCTGAAAATGAAACCCAGCCATGAAATAAAACAACCGAGTTCCGACTCCACGGACCGTACTGGACCCTCGGGAAGCCTTTTTTCAGACAATGATTTTGGCCCTCTCCCATTCTGCAGACGACATCAGATTGGAATTGCAAGTAAAAGTGGGAAATGGTGACCTCCTTGAAAGCTTACCTTACTTAAAATATGTACTGTAAGTATGTTAGAAGAGAGTTGACATGACTTACTTATTTCCCTGTGTTTTTAAAGCAATTTTTGTGACTCGTAAAGGAAGTTACTTAAAATTCGCTCTTAGAGAAGACTTAAGAACTATTGTGCTATTTTTTAAGGGTGTTCTTAGAACTAGCATTTGCTAGGGTAAGTTAGTCAAGGGCCGCCTTAGATATAAGAGTGCGCTCGATCTGACTGAATGGGAGAAATTATAATGGGATTGCCGTTTATCAACCCTATGTGCGCAGATAAATTATACCAGAGAAAACCAAGTAAATTATCTAAAGCAACGAACAATTTTGGTTGGGCTACTAACATCCAACCGGTGCAGAGGTTGTAAATAATACACGTTATTGCAGAAAACGGATTTAGCATTATATAATTATCTAATTTATAGTTTGTGTGCACGTTAAGTTAATTATACAGGAGAGTGAACTACACACTTTTCTCTCAATTCGTTTGTGTTGTGAATGTAACTGATTTTTGCCATTTTCGCGTAAAACAACTTTCCTGAAGCATACGAGAGATTTAGCAGTTGGCAAGATGTTAAGCAAGTTTGTTTCCAAGCTTCGCCGGCAAAGAATTTCGAAAAGTTGAGTGGTAAATTAGGCTTTTTCAATGGATAGGAAGGGGTGGGGTGGTCAACAATTGGTTAGGGGACGGGGGCAAGAGACGTTTGACAAAAAATTAAATTTAAGGTATAGTGGGTCCCCCCCCAGAGCAAAATAAGTATTCTTCCTGTGCTGATTTCTAAGTTCACTCTTCTGTTTAAGGTTACTTAATTAATATTATTCGAAGTTTGGTAGATATACGTAAAAGAAAGGAGAGGTTTTAAATTTATTGGGAACAAGATTTAAATTAAGGAGCTTCAGACTTCCCTCAGATGCATATTAATTTTATAGAAATTTGTGAGACTTTTTATACTCATGAGGAGCGAATTCCTTGGGTTTTTAAACATCCTTATCTCGAAAGTACTGCGATTTGAACACGTACTTACACATGTGTTTTAACATGTTTTCCAAATTTTGAAACACTCAATTCATGAATTTGACGAGGACAGGGAAACTGTTGCTAGTACACAGCTATTGAAATTCATTTGTCAACTGCGTGACACATTATACACTTACCATGCATCGCATGACACAACTTGTGCAACCTTTGAAAGTCGCGGAGCATTACATTTTCATGGCAGTTTACATTAACTAAGAGAGTACCAGTCTTTAACCGGCTGTAACTGTTAAATTTCTCTTTTATTTTTCAAGTCAAAACTACTATCGATAGAAGTAACTAAGTTTCTCTATTGCGGGCTAAGAATTGGTTGAAATCGTCAGCGGTACTTGCCGTAAGATCCCCACTCTTGTATTGCATAAACAGACTTGTTTTAACGGTCCAAAATATAGACAAGAACCGTTTTCGTGTGCTTATTCCCTGGAAATGTCTATATTGTGTATTTTATGTTCTGGCGTCGTACACAACGGTTGTGAATTGACTTTAATTATTATTATTTTTTTTAACAAGAGGCAGATCGTTTTGTGACATTTCTGACTAGTGTGACAGATGAAAGAAACGCAAGTCTAAAAAAAATTGGCCTTGTTTTCTATATGCGATTTCAACTCTTCTGAGCCCTCTAAGAATTTGTTTCCGAAGCAATGGCTTGAGTTCTCAACGCTTGAGGCGTGGTCTTAGTTAGCAGAGATACCAGTATCCCACTATTTACAAATTACACTTCACGAGAAGCCCATTTTAGTCTTCATTTAAACAAACAACCGTGAAAAAATTCAAAAAGAGAAAATGATAAAAATTTATATAAAACATATTTAGAGACAAGGTGGAAATTACTGGAGGCAGAAATTTTGCTGCAGTCACACAAAAAAACAAAAGTAATTTTAATTGTTTAGTAAAGATTGTCAACTTTTTAACGTATTGGACTGATTTAAAGACTTGCATGTTTAAGCTAGTGCATGTAAATGAATTGTATTTAACAGTAGTGGTGAAGCAAAGCTTTTCTTCTCATAGAATGGTGGAAGTTTGCTCAATAACGCCTTGCTGTGTGTTTAATACTTCAAAATATTGAACGAGATCATTCTAAAAAAAAAAAAAGAAAAAAACGAAAGAATCAGACAATGACCGGAAATTTGAAGAAGCGGGCGTTTATTAACAATAGCGTTTATTGGTAGTCATCGGACGTTTCCGACAACTGATCGAAAATTTCCGGAGAGGATTTTCAATGCCCGTCACAATAAGGAGCCTAAGCATAGACGTTTTTGAGACGAGAAAAGCTGCAGAAGTTGAGAATTATTTTCCTTAGCTGGAGCTTACAACAGATGTTTTTTTTTTAACTGTATGCATTGAGATGCTAAAACTGTTTAAAGCTTTGCAGTCGGTTCCTTGATGTCGAAGCGCATTTGATCGGAAGTCGTTACTTCCTGGCGGCGTACCTGTCTCAGAAACGTCCGCGCTCGGTCTTTTGTAACAATATCAAATAATTACCGACCAGAATCGAGTTTGATTTACCGCAGAGTACTCAGGACAAGCTTTCTATCTGGCCATTGTAGAATATACTAGCTGCGTAACAGAAGCTGTGCATAGAAAGTATTACATTCTAAATTGTTTTGTTTTTTTTTTTATCCAGGCAAGGCGCCTTCAGATTATTTTTGAAAAATATTTTATGTTAATTATTCGTTTGCACACAAATCATTGTGAAGTGTAAGAATTACACACACGGTTGACTTTCACTTTTTGGTTGATTGCACAAGTTTGAACAATTAACCCGTTCAGCCCTTTCTTTTATAGTAGCTTCGTTTCATTACTCGTAAAGTTTGATGAGATTTTAAAGATGATTAGCTTCGTAATTCTCAAAATTATTATTGAAAATTGATGATGATCAACGAACGGGGCTGATAGGGTTAAGAACTGGAATTGTTCACATTACGCCCTGTTGTAGAGGGCAAACTATTTGTACTTCACGGCAGAACCATTTCAATGAATGTGCAGAGGTAATTTGAAAGCTATACGTTTGATGGTGCGTGACAGCGTAGCCCTGTAACAGAATAAATATTTTTGAAACGTAAACAATTGTCCCCCTGTCCGTGTCTGTTTACCGCACAAGCCATTGCAAGAAACTTTGCATTTACTGTCCTAGGAAGTGGAAGAAAACGCTTTGTCTTCGACGGAAAACTTGTGTGAAGACGATGTTTTGTTACTGGAAAACACCAGTAAACAACGAAATACAAACCGTTTTCTCGTCTATTAACCGCGCTCTTAACACTAAGGAAACAATCGTTTTCCTAGAGTTAACTGTAAAAGGAAAACTGCTGGATAATGGAACGAATACTCCAATTCGCTGACTCGAAAACAACGGAAAAATTTTCTTTTCGGAAAATGTCAGAAAATACGTGAATAATGCCGCGTTTTCAAATATTTACAACTTGTTTTCCGAACGGGTGAACACCATATTTTTTTTGCAGTGTTTTTGTGTATAGTCAAGCCTATTGATGTAACCATCTCCTTACGTCCTGGAAGCGCCCACTTCTTAAATATCCAACTTTTCCGTCTAGGATGTAAGAGGCTGTAGTTTGAACCTGATTCAGGCAACCCCCCCTCCTAAACAACCAGGACACACTTTGATGGTGGCAGGTTTGTTTCTCCCGTAAGGTGCCATTCTGACCAAGTAACTAGCGAGATTCAATACAAGACTTAGCGTGAAGATGTTGCTTTTTGCGAGAGACCTCTTGTTTATCAGTTAGAGTTTTTGTTCTTGCTATTTGGTGTCTTAGGGGTGCATGCCTATGAGGAAATGATAGGACTCGCCTTAATTTTGCGTTCTTGCCGCGTTTAATTGATTCGGTCCCTCTTTTTTAATATTCTGGGTCCACTAGCACACTAGCTGAAGTTTCAACAAGGACGGGATGGCTTTCTATGCGTGCTTTTCTCTAGCGACATGACTATGTTCATGCGTAGGGTTATGAATATTACCGCGGAGCTGTGTTGCTAAACTATTTCGATTGGATTCCATGGTCAATGAAAATCTGCTCGATAACTGGTTTCTAAAAAAAATTAATTGATTAATAAACTTAAATATCGTTACCTAGCTATAGACAGATCTGTTGGCCATCAGCTCAACGTGATTTGACTGTATTGCCTGGGAGATTGTTGGAATGTTAGAATGCAAGTCGTTTCCAGTTTTCACTTGACCGTGGACGATCTGAGGCTAGTTACTTATACTTCCCAGAAAGCCAGAAGGTTTCAACGAAGGAGACGCCACTCCGACGTAGTAATGGCAACTCGTCGGTCACAGTCTACACGATTAAACAACGCATACTTGGAAAATTTATACAAAGAGGCAAAGTTCGATGGGAAACACGAAGAGGTAAAGGAAATCGAAGAAAGGATTACCAACTTGGTGGACGAAATCTCCACATATATCGGTCACAAAGATCCGCTCTTCAAGAATAAAGTTATTCCTAGCGGTAGCTACTTTGAAAATCTCAAGGCGGAGGGCCCTGATGAATTCGACTTCATGATTTGCCTGGACGACTTGTCTAAACCGGGAGTTTGTATTATAAAAGACATTCCACTCCAACCGGTTCTCGATCCAGGATACGTCCATGTTCAAATCGATAGCGAAGAAGTTCGGCAGCGATGGCGGCGTTACATTTTACGACGAGGAGGAAATCTGGACCCAGAAGCCCTCTTGAACAGGTTTAGAGACCTCATACAGGAAGCTGTAAGGAATAGAAAGCGTCGATCAATTGAAAAAATTGCTGAACATGTTGAAGTTAAGCTCAAAAAGATTCCTGTTACTATTAAGTTGAGATGGAAGGGAACGAAATACCCTAAATATGAAATATCCATAGACTTAACTTTGTGTATCGAGAGGAGTGGATGGCCAATTGCGTCGGATATAGGAAGAAGAGTCGGTAAAGCACATCCAGGGTATGACTTCTTCAAAGAAGCTCGTCGCGCGGGTTATCATCTCGTCGCTTCAAAGATTGGAGAGTCGGGAAGACCCAGGCCTTGCTGGCGTTTATCGTTTTCAGTTGCTGAGGGAATTGTTTTGGAGAAGATCTGTCAGAATCCAAGACTCATTCACACAAAGACGCTGAAGGTCCTAAAAGTTCTTCGAAAGAAACACGAGCACGCGTTATGCCTCTATGAAGCTTCGGGCGGCTCGTATAGAATACAGTGGGCTTTTCACTCGTATGTACTGAAGACAATGTTCCTTCACGAATGGTCTGAATTTCCAGAAGATTCGTTTTGGGGTCAAGATCAGCTTCAAAGTCGAGTCAGAGGGATCCTGACTAGGATTCAACGTAGTCTTAAAACGCGAGACATTCGCAGTTTCTGGGTTCCAGATTACAAACTTTTTAATTTTCTTGCTAGGAAACCAACCGAGACAGAATCCTGCGAACAAAACCTTGCACTCCTTATCGAAAAACTGAGAATCACGTAGCCGTAAAAACCAAATAAATTCTTAATTAAGCGAATATTTCCTGTTTCTACGCGACTTTCTTTGCGAACGATGATAACATTGTATCTTTCAGTGAGGTCTGAATTGTTCAAGGAAGTCACAAGTCAAACAAAGTGTTCCCGACAAGGCGTCTTTCGAAACTTAAAGGTTTTTCCCTGTTAGTTTTGATTCCTGTTTACATCCTTATAACTTAGCAATCAGCATAAGTGAAATCAAACAATGCCATATGATTCAAATTGCAGCCCATTTTAATTGATGTGCTCTGCTTTCACCCTTACAATAAATTTCTGAAGTTTTTAGAGACTCACTTGGAAATCCCGACTTAAAACTGTAAGCCCGGCGTTTTAGTAAAATGAAATGTCTTAAACTGGGGCAGTCTTGAAAATAATTATACTAATCATGTGCAGAACTAATCATTAATATTAATTAAAATCAAAGCAACAGCAGGACCTGTGTTTTTCAAAGGAGATCCCTGGGGTTTTTCCCAGTTGTTTTTCTTCTCTTTCGATTTTCTCCATTGCAAAAATTTTAAAAAAATTCGTTAACACTTCAGTACTGAATTTAATTGCATGGGAAACAAGCTTTTTGAGACTATGAGGGCTGCGAATTTCCTCATCAGTGTAAAAAGTTTGTCTTCGCATGCCTTCGTTCGGGTTAGTCGCCTTGCCCGAAAGTTAAAAAGTTTGTACTTGCGCAACTAAGAACGTCTAATATCTTTATTTGAAAGACTTTTGAAAATCCTATCTAGAATACTGTGGAATCGTCGAGCAAGTTTGTCCTGAGTCCAATGAGAATCTTTGGGGTACTCAAGCCATTCGTGTAGAAACATTGTCTTCAATAGTTACGAACGGAAAGCCCAGCTGATTAAATACGATCTTCCGGGTCACTGAAATCCGGTTCTACCTCGTAAAGACATAGTTACTGGGATACCTGTGGTAGCCCAGTCATAAAATGTCTTTTTTTTTTTTTTCCTCCGCCACAAAATGGAAAAATTGCGCAATAGTACCCAGAGGTCATTGGGCCCTCAACACCATGATAACTAATTCTGATCCAATGAGGTGTTCACATGCTGATCACGCATGTTATCTTTATGATGATTGACGTTGTCATGCACAGACAGGGCCGTCATGTAGGTCATGCACGTCATCTACTTTTATAACGTTGGTAAAATCTGTACAGACATCACACCAACCAACTCGCGCGCAAAGTAAGAAGACTATATTGAAGGCTTGAAGTAATATTGCGATCGATTTTCATCAAGAAATGGGCCAGGAATATCTCACAATAGTGCAAATAATCGTGAAGGCGGATCGCAGAAAAGCGAATGCGTGACGCTCGGTAAGCTGTAAGATGACATGTTATTATATACTAGACGTAAAAACTCTTCAGAGTCTTAGTCTGCATTTTGTGCCCACTCTGCAGTCTGCAGTCTATATTTTGTATCCTATCTGCAGTCTGCTGTCTGCATTTTTTACTAACAGGTATCCGTGGCACCAATACAGTTTATTTTTGGTTACATTTATTCGCAAAACACACATAATCTACCACAAAATACCTGTGAGTGAGGTAATTCGACATTTTCGTTCTTTCCCACATTAATATTCTTCTCTCCTTTTGTAAGAATGTAGACATCACTCACAATGTTTCAAGTAATCCACCCACCCTACAAAAAAGTAACTCTTGCATGCATAGCATGCCTATGTTTTGAAATAGGCGTATGCTCTTGGCCAGACTCGAGCGCACTATTTCAGTATACTAGTCCGACACCCGTAGTATCACTACACTTGATTCCAAGGATCCAGTACCATCCAGGTATCCCAGTTACCCTGCTCACAGGGTCTAGTTCAGACTCATTTTTTCTTTCGCAGAACTTTCAAGATTTCGACCGCTGCCTTGTGTACGAGGAGTGGTGACATTTCGCTGAGGTTTTGTAGCAAAATACCCCCAGCTCTCGAAAACGATAAGCGCCAGCAAGGTCTGGGTTTTCCTGATTCTCCGATGCAAGATGCAATGAGATGATACCCGTCTTGAATTGCGTCTCTGATTATCTTGTAACTGGGATGAGATCTGTTATATCGTTCCCTCACATCGGAGTCGTTCGGCCATCCAGCCACTGATCCTGAGATGATCCTTTATGAGACTTTTGCTAATCAACTCGAACTCTCTTTCTTCTTATCTGGCATCTTTAGGGTGCATGGTTATGAGGTATAATGATAGCATTTGCCCTGAGATTTAACTCGTTCCCTTTTTCTTCATATTTCTGGATCCAAAGCTTCATAGTCGAGGCGTACTCATATCTTAATGTGTTAATCTCACGATCGAGAGATCGACCATCAGCCAACATACTTAGCAAGGAATCTGAGTAAGTCCAGTTAGTCGGTCACGATGTTCGTTCGAATTCGTTTCGGAAACTGCGATCAGGTGGGAAAGTAACCTATGGATGAACGTAGTTAGTCGCGCAGCTCCCGAAAATTACGAAAACTTGTATAGCACAATGAACCGCCTAAAAGCAGCAGCCAAATAACCCCATTCCACTGAATCCAAAGACCAAACAGCTATCATGTTTTATTTAACCATTTCTCGGACGATATTGCCTCCTGTGTGTGTTTATGCATATGCTTGACTGTTCTGGAATTCACGTGGAGTTGTATGCTGTTACTTTGGAAATTAAAATCTGCCTGATAGCTGCCTTTGTCGACTGAAATTATAATTTTGTCGCTGCCGGGTCGTAGACAGATTGTGGATCTCGAGCATTGCATAAGTTGACCGGTAAGGCCTGGGATAAAGTCTTGGGCCCCAGTTTCCATTTGGCCGTGATCAGTCTGGGGTTGGTCAGCCCTGCTTCCGCGAAAGCTGAAGTGTTTCATCGAATACATCCCGGCAACGAAGATTAATGGCCACTCTCCAGCCGCAGTTGCGGCACTTGGACAACAAATATTTGCGAAGTTTCTACCAAGAGGCAGAATTCGATTGGAATCACAATGTAGTAAAGGAAATCGAAAGAAAAATTACCAGATTCGTGCAAAAAGTCTCCGATTACATCGGTGGCGAAGATCCGCTGTTTAGGAATACTGTCATTCCAAGCGGCAGCTATTTCGAAGGTCTCAAAGCAGTGGGCCCAGATGAATTCGACTTTATGATTTGTTTAACGGAATTGTCAGAACCAGGTGTTTGTGTCATAAAAGATATTGACAGAAAGGTTCCTGATCCAGGTTACGTAGATGTACAAATTGAAGACGAGGAGGTTAGCGAACGGTGGAAGCAGTACATTTCGAGACGTGGAAATCTAAAGTCGGATGTCCTCTTGAATAGATTCAAAGATCTCATTGAAAAAGCTGTAATGAAAAAGAAGCGTCATTTAAGAGGATATATTGATGATTATATCGTGGTTGAGCTTAGAAAGATACCTGTCACAGTCAAGTTAACCTGGAAAGGAAAAAAATATTCCAACTATGAGATATGCCTCGACTTCCCTTTATGCATTAAAGGTCCCAATTTATGGCCAGCAGCATCAGACATACGAGAGAGACTTCGGGATGGAAGCCATCCCGGGTATCAAGTTTTTCGAAAAGCTGTTGGGGCTGGTTTTCATCTCGTTGCCTCAACGATTGGAGAGGCAGGGAAACACAGGCCTTGCTGGCGTTTATCGTTCTCCGTTGCCGAGGGCATTGTTTTGAAGCACATTTGTCGAAATCCAAGCTTAATTCACAAAACGGCACTCAAGGTTCTGAAAGTTTTACGAAAGAAGCACGAAGGCAGTCTGTGTCTCTACGAAGATCCAGATGATCCGGAAGTCTCATATAAAATACAGTGGGTCTTTCATTCGTATGTACTGAAGACGATGTTTCTTCACGAATGGTGTGAATTTCCAGATGATTTGCTCTGGGGCTCTGATCAGCTTGGAGAACGAGTTCAGGGTATTTTAAAAAGGATTCGAAGCAGTCTCAAAAACAAAGACATTCGTAGCTTTTGGGTTCCAGAGTATAAACTTTTCAATTTTCGTGCTAGAAAACGTACCCAAACAAACATCTGCATGAACAACCTAACATCGCTTATACAAAAATTCACGATCTAATTTTCAAAACAAGTTTTTTCAAATTTTCTTTTAAATGTATTTTCATGTCGAAAACGATTATTTTCCTAATTTCTTTGGCTTGCATTAGTTGCATTAACCGATGGCATTATATCTTCCTTCGATGTTTTGATCATTTTAAGGGTCGCAAACATTCACATAATTATCACACTTAACTAATGTCTTAATCCTACTTAGAAGCAGAACCATTCGGCAGAAATTACCTAGTCAATAGGCCGTACAAAGCTCTGCAGAGTGTGATGCTTGATAAATGCATAGGATCTTGAATGAAGTTCAACTGTGTCTCAGTATTTTAGCTAATCATGTATGCAATATTATTTGTTGTGATACTGTGAGTATCGATGGTGATGGAAATATTTCGGATTATTTGTTTAATTGGGATGAGATAGCACTCCGATCGTTGCACGAATCCAAACCAGCTAGTTAGAATTGTGCGATTTTTTTTGGGAGAAATTTGACTTGCAGCGACAGAGTTTGCCAGACAAGTTACTGACATTCAAGTCAAATGAAGATTTCTGTGACTTCTTCCTGCGATTTATATGCCGAGCTTCGCTAATTTCTCCCAGCTATATAGCTCTCGCTCTATAACAATCAGTTAAGTAATGGTACGGGAAGGTAACCTATTGGCAGGTTCTCTTCGAACTCCCCTGGTACAGCCTTGCGTGACTTAGCTCAATGTTGATTGACATCAATATGCACGAACACAACAAATACTTTATTGTTACACTGATGGCGACATCTTGACAGCTGAATGAAAAATACACTACTCATGACCGCAGATTCCCGACCAAGTAAGAACCAAGCTCAGGACTTCCTTGCCATATAATAATTCCCTTTATTCAAACAAAGCGTTCCCGACAGGGCGACTTTCGAAACTTAAAGGTTTTTTCCCCGCTAGTTTTGATTCCTGTCTACAACCTTATAACCTTGAAATCAAACAATGCAAAATGACTCGACTTCCAGTCTATTTTAATTGTTGTGATCGGCGACGTAATTCACCCTTGCAATAAATTTCTGAGGTTTTTAGAGACTCACTTGGAAATCCTGACTTAAAACTATAAGCCTGGCGTTATAGTAAGATGAAATGTCTTAGACTAGGGCAGTCTTCGTCGAGCAAGTTTGACAACATCCAAACAGCTGAGTGACAAAATCGTTATTATGACAACGCCATATTTTTCAAACTGTTTTTCTTTCAAACAAAGCATTCGCGACACGGTGTCTTTCTCAGAAACTGAAAGGTTTTTCCTTAACTGTTGATGGTTTCGATTCCTGCGTACATTCTAATAAATTAGCAACCGGAAAACCAACGAAAATGTCTGACTTGCGATCGATTTGTTATTTAGTACCCAGGCTTGCTGCACGTAAGCCACTGCTAAAAAAAAAGTTTCTTTTATAGACCCACTTAAAAAATCAGGCACTAAGTTATTAACCTGGTATTATAATAAAATCGAGTATCTTAAACTGGGTAATCTTGAGAATAATTATACTGATTATGTGCAGAGCAAATCATTAATATTACTTGAAAATCAAAACAACAACAGGACCAATGCTTTTTCGAAGGAGATCTTTGGGGTTACATTTCCAATTATTTTTCGTCTCTTTCGATTATTTCCACTGCGAAATTTTGAAAAAATGCATAAGAATTTAATTGCTGTATTGATTGCATGGGAAACTAGCTTTTTGAAACTGTGAGGGCTGCGAAATTCCTTATCAGTGAAGAAAGTTTGTCTTCGCATGCCTTCGTTCGGGTTGGTCGCCTTGCCCGAAAGTTAAATAGTTTGTACTCCGGCAACCAAAAGCTTCTAATATCCTTCTTTGAAAGACTTTTGAAAATTCTTTCTAGAATACTGTGGATTCGTCGAGCAAGTTTGTCTTGGGTCCAATGAGAATCTTCGGGGTACTCAAACCATTCGTGTAGAAACATTGTCTTCAAGATGTATGAATGGAAAGCCCAGGTGATTACATACGAACTTTCGGGTACTCCTAAATATTCTAAAACAACATCAGGATCACTGAAATCCGGTTCCACCTCGTAAAGACAGAGCTCAGACTCATTTTTCTTTCGCAGAACTTTCAAGATTTTGACCGCTGTCTTGTGTACGAGGAGTGGTGACATTTCGCTGAGGTGTTGTAGCAAAATACCCTCAGCTCTCGAAAACGATAAGCGCCAGCAAGGCCTGGGTTTTCCTGATTCTCCGATGCAAGACGCAATGAGATGATACCCGTCTTGAGTTGCATTTCGAATCATCTCGTAACTGGGATGAGATCTGTTATACCGTTTGTTCACATCGGAATCGTTCGGCCATCCTGCCATCCTGATGCACAGGACTAAATCCACCGATATTTCATAGTTCTGGTACTTAGTTCCATTCCAGACGAGTTTCAATGTTACAGGGATTTTTCTAAGCTCTACCTCAAAATTTGTTAATAGCTTCTCATGAAAATGCTCTCTTTTTTCCACAAGCGCATCGTTAACCAGAGCTTGAAACTTTTCCAGCATAGGTTTAGGTTTTAGGTTCTCTTTCTTTGAGATGTATCTCTGCCATCGACGTCGCAAGCCCGAGTCTTTCACTTGAACATGAACATATCCTGGATCCCGAACTGATCGAAACGGAATCTCCTTCACCTCACATACGTCAGGTTGCGACAAATTCTCCAAGCAAATCATAAAATCAAACTCATTGGGTCCCTCAACTTTGAGGTCTTCATAAAAGCTTCCACTCTGCAGTACTGTATTATTGAAAAGTGGCTCTTTCTCGCTGATTGTCTCCGCGATTTCGTTAACCAGGTGCCTTACGGCTGCTTCTATCTCATTCACTTCACCATGTTCTCTGTCAAATTCTGCCTCTGCGTACAAGCCACGTAACAGCTTGTTTCTTATTTGCGGCATGACTGTCCTTCTCTGAGAAAATCTACTTAAAAGCACTTCCGGAAATTCTCGGAAAAGAAGCAGCCGTGATGAGACTTCTGGTTTCCAGGGCCTCTCGGTTCAAGAAGCTCAAATGCTTTGCTGCAGCTTTTAGAGATCGACAAATAAGTAAACAATTTGGATACCGAAGAGTTGGATATCAGGTCAAGTTGACGTTCCTTATTGGTGCTGAAAACAAGTTATAGAAATTCAAAGGGTTTTTTTCCCTGTTAAGTTACTAGTTAAGTCACTACATTTCAGCAAGGTTCATTTAGATATGGAGTTTTCATCCTGTTAGTTATATACATCGTGATGAAAAGAGCATCATTTGGTTCATTACTGGTATGTAAAAGGGGGAGCCTAATCGTATATGTGAGCAAATACGTTACTGTTTGAAAAATAATATGAAAAAATAGGGATAATTTTATTCAGAGCCTTAAAAAGTTTATCAAACACAACAAATTTGCCCTGGAGAACTTTTCGAACCAAAGGCAGCTACTTTTCAGCCTTCGGCAAAATAATAGAAGTTCAAGGAAGCGTTTAATACTCCTCTTCGCCATATCGAGTATTCAGTTTTTGCACTTTCCTAACCTTAGTAAGTTTACTTTACGTCGGAAGGACATAAACCAAACCCTCTCTTCTTTGACGACTGTTTATTTTTTTTTTCTTATTCATGATAAGATAAATAATGTGATGGTCGACATAACTACAATATGCATTTTGGTCGGAATTAAATATCAACATGACATGATCTACCTATAACATTTAATTAAGGCCGTATCACGAATTCATCATCATAATGCATGAAAAGCGATGATTTTCAGACATAGCAGGCTCGACCAACACTTTTGGAAAAGCTGATCCGTTTAAATTGACACACTAAAGTCACACAACGCCACCATAACGAGTTAAATACCAAAGGCTCAAGCACTTCCATGACTATCGTTTATTTTTTCCAGAAACCTGTGGATAACTGAAATATTTCGGAAATGTCTTTTGCCGTCTACAAACAGGAAGCCGAAAATTTTTCAGAGAGATTTTAGACAATAATATTTGCCTTTTTCATCTTCATAAATAACAGAAGGTATTCTCACTCATTTATGAGCCCCTCCCAGAGGGGGTGCGTGTTCCCTTGATCCCTTAATCGCTTTGGATTTTATCCCTTGTTCCCCATTAATAAAACCCCTTGTTCCCAAAAATGTTTTCAACTCATGTTCCCTTGATCCCGAAAATTTTTGCGCTGTTCCCTTGATCCCCAAAAATGTTTATTATTGTTTCCCATATTCTTTTGCTTGTTGTACCCTTCTATTCATAGTAGAAAAAAATCACTTTCGAACCACCTCTTTCTTCTCCTTGGAATCCGCTCATGCTGTTCTTCATCGACTGCCGTTTCTGTCATCTCAACTGACTCAGCTGCCTCTGCGACAGTGCATCGACGACTAATGATTTGTAATTGTAACTTTAAATTATTTGTATATGTTTTTATTTTTATCCTTTGGTGAAGCAGTGGTCAATAAACGTATGTATGTATAAGGAGAAGGATAAGATCACCTTCTTTAAGCTCTAAGGTATCTTCACGGTAGTTATAGCAGGTTAGGGCGCAAACAACGTTTCTCACACCGACATATCTCTCTGCATCTTCCGTGAACAGCACTGAATTGAAAGGATCTTGAATAAACACTTTGGCCTTCACCCTCTTCATGCCAACACTCGCATTCTCTTGCAGACAGGCCATTATGAATTGACGAGTATCACTGGAATTAGCTTTAACACAGACAATCTGGCGTAGTTTGTAAAAAGTCTCTGTTGTTTCCCTATGCGGCACTGGGACTGCTGCTGCTTCACTCAGCACTGTGAAATCTAGGGGCTGTACAGTCAGAGAGTCAGCTGTATACAAATTTATGGGCAGAGTTCCTGGATTGTCCTTTGATGTCATGTTTTGCACTGTTTTCTGGAGGACAATCTGACCAAACATTGCTCTCCAGTTCCTCATTTCACTCACCTGCTTTTCAGATAGTTTGTGTGCCTTTGGAGGGCATAACTTGGGTAAATCATTGTAATATGTGGTGGTGAAAACCTGTGGGTAATAGGACTTGGGAGCTGTGAAGTAAGCAAATGGTGTAAAACATTGCCTCTTCAATCGTTCTTTGATTGCCCTGCTGAATCTGTAATCGAATTCAAGCTGTAGGGGCATGTCAAAGGCACCACTTCTCATTTCTGAAAATGTGTTTTCGACAACAAGCGTTGGAAGACTTTTGATACTAAATTTGGTGGTAAGGCTTGGATTAAAACGGTCCAGCAGGTCCTTGATGTCACGCAGAGACTTCAGGATCCTTCTTTCATCTTCCATGACAACAGATGAAACAGTTCCTTAAGGGCCTTGTGCTAAGTTTTTCATTCATTGCATAGCTATGTTCATTGGAGAAATTAAAAAATCAGGTACGCCTTTGCCGTGCTGGTTCTTTGAGTCTCTTGTGATTGGCTTTTGTACCATCTTCCGTTACAACGCTCCGTTGAATCGCAGGAACAGGTGCTCACTTTAAGCTCACCCCTTTACATCTTTCTATCTTTGAAATTTAGGCCGCTCTATTGGGCTGGCCAGAATATTGTCAGGTAGTCGTGTAGCGGGCTTTGGATATCGTGGTATGTAACCCCCCAAGGTATAAAGAATAAGAAACTCCAGATGTTTTTCCTATTTGTAATAGAACACTAGTGTTGAATCCTCTGTTAAAAATTCACGACCAAGCCTATGACATTAGTACTCTACATGCCAAAGACTAAGAATTAATCTTGAAAAAGATACTTAAATACTTTTAAAAGGACTCAGTTCAATTCCACCAAAAAACAAAAATATATATAATTTTAAATACGACTACGCTATTCACGTTTTCCTCGAAGGTTATGTGCTCATCACTCCTTCTTCTACGCGTTGTTCTTTCATAAACTAGAGATAATCCCGGCGCAGGATTTTTGAGAGCAGATCTGTAATATATTATAGATCTGTAATATATTATAGATCTGTAATATATTATAGATCTGTAATATATTATAATTGAGAGTAATTAAAGGAACTGTGAGTTGATTTTCTCTCCTATTAGCCATCTTCTAATTTCACTTGTGCCGGCGCCAATCTCGTATAACTTCGCGTCTCGTAGAAATCGTCCCGTTGGGTAGTCGTTTATGTAGCCATTTCCACCTGATGGGAAAAGCGTAACAACATGGAATAATAAACCGAAAATTGTCAAAGAAACAAGACACGTTCTCTGTTCAGTTAAGACGAAGGCAACTTCTGGTCCTCAAGAACTCATTGCATCGGTAGCTCTTGTCATGAAGCTGCTAGCCAGCGTGGTGTGTTACATAATTTTTAAATGCTAGATCTGTGCTATGCGTACTTGCGTTTAAATAGAGACTTCCGCCACAGATTACCCGCTTGACGAAAGAAAAAAAAAAAAAAGGAAAGGTAGCAAACTAATTATTTAATTTAACCGGAGAAGCGAGAGAGAGAGAGAGAGAAAGAGACTTACCCAGAATTTGAATGGCGTCCAATGCAACTTGAGTTGCATTTTCAGCAGCATAAAGAATCACACCGGCACAGTCCTGGAAACAAGCAAGGTACATAGTTTAGATACAAGGATTATGTGGTGTGTTTTTCTATCTTTCTGAACTACATGTAATATTTGGAGGCCTCCACCAACTTCACATGGGTTGTTTTGCAAGGTGTCAAAACAAGGCAATAACTAATTTGTACCGTACATCTGAAAACCTTGAACGACATTTAGTTCTCATTCTGTACTTATACGTATGTTGTGTTTGCATAAAAACGCTACCGAACACTCATGAAACACGAGATCTACCTCTTGAATATAGTTGTACATGTACCTTGGAGTTAACATGCCCAGTATCGCACGCACGAGCTACTGAATAAACATAGGTGCGACATGCGCTCAGGCGCGTGTACATGTCTGCCATCTTGGCTTGAATTAACTGAAAAGAAAAAAATGTATAAAGGACAACATGGATGAATCTGTAAACCACTCTGCCACCGTTTCAAAGCTGTACTCGTAGAAGAAACACTGGGTTTCCTGAAGGCTTTTGTCACAGATATCGTGCGTGCCACAAAACCTTTCATAATAGTAAAGTTATGCAAGTCCATTAAGATAAAAGATAGTCGCCTATGGCACTCACGCTCTGCTGAAGCACAAGCAGGCAGTGGTGTCGTCGATTAAAAGCATGCAGTTGGAGAGATTAATATCTGTGCATTATAAGACCATATTCTTGACATTCAGCCTTACCTGATGTTCACCTATTTTCTTTCCAAAACTCTCTCGTAGATGAGCATAAGGGAATGCAACGTCCAGACATGCCTGCATCACCCTAGGGGTCCGAAAATATATGGCTTAAACTTGATACACCTTAGCAGTACAACAGTTGATACAGAGGGTGACTGCAGACCGACACACAGGGTCTCGCTTCATTCATGTCAGGTGACAACAGTGGCACTGGTGTCTATTGCAATATATGCTTATCATTTTTTATTCAAAATTTAAGAATTACCCTTTAACTTTTCAGATGCTAAATGTCAATGTTTTCGAGGCAATCTTTGGTTCTGGTCAGGGCTGTTTAGTGTCACACTGACACTCAAATTAAGGTTTTCACTTATAATTCTTTCGTTTACCTCTCAGCTGATGGAAAATATTTTGAACACAAGTCAAAATGTTATAATAACTGTAATACTCTATTTTTTGCAGTAATCATTCATTGTTCTTTCCCTATATCATACACACATAACAATGGCTTCCACTGACCTGTAAAAATCATGCTCAGTTTGAGAAGACAATGTTCCAAATTCTGAAAATAGTTGCCAACTAATAGAGGTTGATACATGGTTACCATGAAAGCCTGTTTCTGGTGATATTTTCTTTCTTCATGTTAAAATAGTTTTCACCAGCTACCCTGTTTTCAAACATGGTGGAAACTTGCCATTTGAAGAATAACATCAGTTTATACAGAACTGTAGTTTTAAAAACCTACCCTACAGGTCCAGCTGCCAGCACAAGTCTCTCCAAATCCAAACCACTCATTAGAACATAAACACCTTTTCCTTCACCTCCCATTACATTTGCAGCTTAAAATTAACATAATGGCACATAATGTTAATAAAATTATATTCAACTTATGACATGCACCATGGGAGAAAATTTTCACAAATTATAATATGCTACCTGGAACTTTACAATCCTCGAATACCAATTCACAGGTGTTGGATCCTCGCATTCCGAGTTTGTCCAGCTTAGGACTTGTGGTAAAACCTTCCATACCCTAGAAGTGTGTAAACATGGAGAGGGGGAGTCAGAGTAGTCGGCTGGATCATGTTTTCTCCAAGAAAAAACGTTTTTTTTGGCTTTTGCAAATGAATGTCATTAAACTTTTCAATGAAAAATATTGTCATGCAATTTTAATGTCATTGAAGGAAGCTCAATAACAGTAAATTCTTAATTGGTTCAGCAATTAATCAATCAAAAATTTTCAAGAGTACCTTTTCAATTAAAAAGCAAGTTATTCCATGTTGTGGCTTAGGATTACTGGGATCAGTTTTGGCATAAACTACCAGGACTTCAGCATCAGGTCCATTAGTAATCCACATCTTAGTTCCATTTAGAACATAATAATCCCCTAAATTAAAGATCTATCAGTAAATTGTTTTCTTATAGTGTTTCATTTTTCACATAACAATATTAAATATACAGCAAACATTGATGCGAGTCGAGCTTTCCTGAGTTCCAATAACATAGAACTCTGATGAAATGCAATGAATTCATCTGTAACCACAAAATACGCAGCATACTCAAAAATATCCTTCAGACCAGTCTCAACTTGAAGGAAACAGTAAGGGTTGCACCCGTTCTATTACGAGTATATATAGCATACTATCTACTTAAAAGGATACAAAAAATTTTCATTTAAATCTTTTGTTTTTTAATCAAAACATTATTTCCTAGTCTGATCAGCTCCAACTACAATGGGTGGTTATTAAAGTTTAAATTACATGTAAGTTTTATATTTTTTTTTTTTGAGAAATGTTTTTAACTGCGTACAAGTTCCTCTATAACTGACTGCAGCACCAATCCACAATATATAATTGTTACAAAGTTTCAGATCCAATAAAAATTTGATTTGTGGCCTGCAGTTAATCTTCAACGAGACACCTATTTTGCACACAGTTCTCACAGGTAATGGGAATGAGCACATTAGATCAAGATGTCTTATTGCAGGAGACATTAAGGCTTTCCATAAAAATACGGCTACATGCATATGTACTGCTAATAACACACACAAACAAAAGCACACAAACAAAAAACAATTATAACCTTTCTTGTCTGCTTTAATTTTCATGGCCACAACATCAGATCCTGCTGTTGTCTCACTCATGGCTAAGGCACCTATGTGTTCACCACTCAACAACTGAGAGACATTGGAAATTATAATAATAATGAAATAGGCAAATAAATAAAATGAGTAGAAACTTAGTAAAATGAATTGATGATGATGATGATTTGAAATAAGATTCCTGAATTTTTGTGACAAAACTTTTCAATTGTTGACTAAAAATTAATACTTTCATGTTGGGTTGAAATGTTTTCCATGAACATTTAAGAGTAACTTTTAGGTAAATAGAGATTATTGCATGTTAAAAGCATGACCTTGTTCTAATTCATGATTTTTATGATGAGAAATTATTCTTAAAAGACCAAGTGGGATTTGTTGAAATTAGCTCTAACATGTAATAACTAGTTCACGAAGTGCATCTTAAACCCTTAATTATTTAAGCATTCTTCCAATTTACAAGATGTTTAATACATGAATTATCCATCTCTTTCATTCACAACAAACCTTAGGCAAGTATTTTTCTTTTTGACTATCACTACCATTTCTGTAAATTTGATTGACACACAGATTAGAGTGTGCTCCATAACTGAGAGCAATTGCTGCAGAGTATCTGCTCATCTCTTCCATAATAATGCAATGGTCCAAATATCCAAGGCCAGACCCACCAAGGTGTTCTGAGATAAAATTACACAAATGAAATGACTTATCATAAATAAAACCTTGAACACCAAAAGGGGAAGCCCTAACTTTTGCTGAATGCAAGAGCTCACACATACAGTATCAATAAAATTACGAGGAAATGTATGATAATGTTATACTAATAACTACAAAAAAAAATTGCTGCCTTCCTGAAAGGAAATAAACAACTCTTTTTGGTGGCAATAACAGGAAGTGTCAGGTTGGCAATTCCCATGGGGGAAACAAATGTAGCGGCCTTAATAAACAGCTAGCACACTCATGGATTCACACTTGAGATGTCTAGCTTCAAGACCTGGGGGTCTCATTGTGTTCTTGGACAAGACACTTACAGTTCAACTCTCACAGTGCCTGTCTCAATAGTACTAAAATGGGTACTGCTGAACTGTTTGGGGTAGCCTGACAAAACACTGTGCTGCAATCCATGAAAACTGGAATAGGCTCTGGTCAGGTGAGTTGTTAAGCTTGATTACTAACTTGACCTTTCATAGTACTTAACACTTTCTTAACCCTTTAATTCCCAAGATCTCGTTAGTAATTCTCCTTACTGTCTGCCAAATGATTCTCATTTTAGTTTGGAGAATTTGGTATTAGATCAATTAATAATCCCAAAATTTATATTTTTCTTTATTCTCATCACTTGTCTGCATGATATTGTATAGATATAGTTCTAAGGAGAAATTCTGTCTTAGTCACTCACAAGAATTAAAGGGTTAAGAGTGAATGTAAACCTGGTAAATCATAATTTTGAAATGTCAGGAGGGTTGTTTTGTCCAACACATTGGAGTAATTTGCACAGAATTTGCTGCTCTTCAAAAGGGTCAAATATATAGATTGCTTTAAAGGTCAGTTGATAAAACTCAACAGAGAGCTATTACAAGTGGCAAAGGTGTCTTGGCATGATCAACTTCTTTATCATAACTACTACATAACAGGCAAATTAGGAGTTACAAACCTGGGACTGTTATTCCTAAAAGTCCTAAGTGGCCAAGATTTTTCCAGAAATCCTGGAAATTGAAAAATAAATAATTGTATTGAACATTTACAGTGCTGAAGTACTCATTACTCATTTTAAGTACAGTAACTTCTATTTCCATAGTTATAGGTATAATGTATGAAAACCTTTGACACTTAAAAATAATTAAAGATACAGTTTGTATAAGTACAACTTTTCTGATGGAATGGAGGTTTCCCTTTTAAGGTAATCTGCAGTAGCTATGATTATCTTTTCAAAATTTACTGTAGCAATTCATTTGCCTCATCAACTTATAGCTGATTAACCAACTAAAAGAAAAGTTCCATCCTTCATATAAACACTCGTCTTGGGGTGCCACTTTTAGAAAGAATTAACTGTATAGACAAAATACAAATCATACAATCACATAGATCAGTAGATGGTCTTCTCACTGGCGAACTTACCCTTAACTGTAAAAAGTTATTTTCTTTATCAATTTGATCAGCATATGGGGCTAATTCCTTCTGACAGAAGTTGCTGACTGTCTCTCTTAACTGTTGGAAAGAATATAACAGTTTCATATAGCTTACATTTCCATGATTATATAAGGAACTTGTTTACAGGCTGCATGAATTTCAGCTACATGTAAAAAACCAAGGACTCTGGCTGTTGTAAAATTTCTATTCCTTTTTTGAGTGAGGGAACAACCTCTCACTTCTTTTCTCTGAGTAATATGATCTACTCTGTAATTAACAAATAGATTCCATGTTGCTGCATTTCTGTTCCACAGTAGATCACAAATGATGTTAAAATGTGATAAGAACAAAAAAGGGGCACACATGATGCGGCCAAGTACACATATGTCACTGATGTTCTTACCACATTTTGACATCTTCTGTGACCTATTACTGTACAGACCTGCAGCAATATGGAATTTATTTGTTTTAACTGATGTAAACACAAAGTGTGTCACCTGAAATCAAGAGTCATGTTGACTGAAAAGACAAATACTTTAAAGATCAGACTTACAGACTGTAAATAGGTAATGAAGTTGAGAAACCTTTCTCACTAAAGTACTGTTCGTTTACAACAACACCATGAAGATGTTGATCAGAATTAACAGGTGTTCAAATAACGAGTCTAAAAACGTTGTTCATTTCTAAAACAAAATGAAGCATTGTTCGAGAAAATATCAAATTCATACTCCAATGTGGTAGAATTGTTTTCGTAGCCTCAGTGAACGTTTTACTACGTGTATGTCCTGAGAAACTTCTGCCCACGCTGATCAAAGATCATGAAGCTATTTGATATTGGCATTTAACACAATAAGTTAGATTGTGTTTTTTGTCCTTTTTCGGCTGTCTCCCTTTAATGGTACAGGATATCACCTAACTACCATTTTAAATTGTTTGCTTTTCTGGAATTTAACCGATTTACGCTGGGAAGCTTTGTGAGTGACCAAAACGACCAGAGGGAACGAATATATTTTCTGCATACACATGTACCTCAAAATTTTTTCTTGAGCGATTGCCAGAAACGAGAAGGTTGGCGAATTTGTTTTATCCACCGAAAAACAGAAAAACATAAGATCGTAAGAGATTTTTCAACCTTGAGGAAATCAGGCTTGAGAGCAGAGGACTGGAGGTGTGTCGGAGGTGTGTCAGGTATTGCGTAAGATCGAACGACTTTACACGCAAGAAAAGACGTGGTTACCAACGAACGGTGTTTTGATGGCAACAAATGTTTTAAAACGCACCTGTTTTTGCTCAGATGTGATCCCTGATACATTATCGTCTACATCCACCGAAAAATTTCGAATTCCTAAACATTTAGAGGCTTGAAAAAGTGAATTTTTCAACAAACTTTTCCTCAATACTCTGCTTAGAGTCGCCATGTTGAGATAATGACATTAGACACGGAAACGAGACTCTCTTCACCGGTCTCCTAAGAGGTGAGCTTGAGTGAGCTTGGAAACTTGTCTTCTCTCCAGGCTCCTTTAATTTGTCAACAATATGGCGTTCGACAAAACATGGATAGTCCTCATCGCTGGTTGTGGTGTCTTAGGACTGGCTGTGTGGGGTGGACTTAACGCAATGACTCTAAAAATGATTCTCTTATGGATGTTCATCGGCTTTGGGTTCCTGACCTTCCTAATGCATTTGTTTGGCTCGCCGATTAGTATTTTGTTGGGAAAATTTTTCCATAATTCTCCCGACGAACAACAGACCAGTCAAGGTATCCTACGTGTACAAACGTGAATATCTGTTTATGTGATCAACAGTCTCAAGATCAGTTTGCCAACAAAGCGTGCGCATGGTCAAGTTTCATTGTATCCTAGATGGGATTGGATGTATCCCAACAAAATATCCGTAATTTTTTTCGTGGCATGGCTGATGCTACGTATGACTATTTTTGTTGCTCATTTGCCAGGTGTTGAAGTCGTAATAAATGCGATTTAAGCTCCCGTAAAGCTGTTTATTTTAAACTTACTGAATCACTTGCAACAGTTAGTGTAATTCCTTTAAAATACGGTTATATCCTCAATAATACTAAACTTATGAGTAGATTACCATAGAATTATTTGCGCATGTTTTGTCTTTATTAGTAAAATATTCTGAAACGGAACTGAAAGAAAGAAGGCAAAGAGCGTTGGAAATGAAACAATTCCTGCAAGATAATAAGGTAAATTAATATGAACATAACAAATGGCGTGGTGGCAGAGATGAAAATAAAAAATAATGAAAGGAAACATTGACAACAATAATTTCTCGAAAGCAAACTCTATCATACTACAGTGGAACATTCCCCATCAACCACTGAGCTGAATCAAACTTGAACATATTAAACAAAGCTTGTTAGAATGAAACTTCAATAGGTAGCAATTTATAGTTTAGTTTCACTGAAATTGTGTTAAATTGCTGCATTCTAGTGTCCATTGGATTAATATTGTGTTCTTTTCTACATTTACACTTGCATCCACAAAGCTAATTGAGAGACATTTGAATTTCTCAAGGTTGACATCTATAGAGAGAACATTTTAGATCCAAGAGAAGAGATTCTTAAAGCAAAAAGAGAGGCAGAGTTCTACAAGTTTGACAGCAGGTGGAGAGGAAAGGGTCAAAGATTAGGGGTGAGATTTGCCAGCTGAGTTTTATGTGCATTAAAAGGTTTTATAAACTCCGTATGTTTTAAGTGTATTTTTGAATACACAAAGTAGAATTATAATAAAAAGAATAGAGGGTTATATTAATAGTATTCAAACAAGTTCAAATATGAATTTTCAGCATGAGTCTTAAGCTCTTAAAGGCTTGGTTTACCAGAGTGGATGTAATAAAAAGTGCATGGCCTGAGTGACTCTTAACAAAATTTTTATGTATGATTAAGTCTGTGGTTTAAGCTAAGTTGCTTTTGTTGTTATTATCTTTAAAAAGTGTTGAATTGTTGAGGTTAATCCCCTTAAAGACTACAGTGACAGTAATTTTTTCCCAAAATTGCTTTTTGCTTGATCAGAAGGGACATGTTGAAGAACAAGCTGAAGAAGACTTTTTATCCCAAGAGTTTTTGTTGCATGAAGATCCTAGCTCAGAAGAAGGAACAAACACAGAACAGATTCCACATAATGATGGTACCTCAAACTTCACTGACAATGGGTGCATGTCTAGAAAAGAACAGACTGAGACAGATTCTGTGCGTCAAAGGAGAAACAGACAGAGTCGTGAGGTAATTATGTTTATGCTGTTCTTAATGTACCACATGAAGAAGTGTAACATTAACCCTTTACATCACTATACACATTCTCCATATTCTTCCCTATAAATTTCCCAAGGTACCGACAAGGGGAATTTGTTTTAGAATCAAGGGCCTCTTTGGTTGGGGATCATTTCCTTTAGTCTTGTAACCTTATTGAGTTATTCAGGGAAATTTAGAGAACAAAGTTTTTGTCTTATTATACAAATGTACCTGCAGTTTATACTGTAATTACAATTGAATGACTCCATGTAATTCACAACATTGTTACACCAGACTCTGTGTATTTTTTTCAAACCTTTAGTTCGTTTGTTTAATTGTATTCAAATATTTTTTGTGATATTTGTATAGTTCATGGATACCAGGTGTAGGTTACATTTTCTTTTATTTACATTTGCAACACAAGGTGCACATGTGTTAACCTAAAAAAAATTACAGATGATTTATTTTCCTTTGTTACAGTTGCCTGAAGAGCCAGATCCCAAGGAGAATGGGGTAACAGCATGAGCTTGTTGTTCTTAGAAGTTTTAACCAAAATATCCTCATTAACAAAAATGAAAGGCTTATAAGCAATGTTTACTTTTATTTTATCAGGTAATAACTGTTGCCCTTCGTTGTCCTGATGGAACTGTTAAGAAGAGGAGATTTGCAGTGCAGTCCCAAATTAAGGTAACAATTACTTGACGCCCTCTTAGATTTTGGTTTGTTATGTTGATTTTAGTATACCTGTCAAGTCAGATGCATTATACTTGTTCTTCACGTCCGTATTTATCAAAAACGTCGATCACAGATTGACAGGACATTTTTCATTAGACACTGCTTTTTTTATGAACCTTTGGTATTCACCAGAATGTCCACAGGGATCTTTTATAATTTTTCGAGGGTTATCAGATTCTTCTTGGAAATTCGGATGTTATGAATAAATCACACACGTTTGAGTCGATCTACCACTGCCTGTGTGCAGGTTACCTTTCAAAACGCTTTGCAGCACGCCATAACTTGCTAAAGGATTTCGAACGAAATATAAGACCAGCCATTTCGTCATGGAAGCCCAAATTAAAGTAGACGAGATGTGTATCTCTTAACGCTCAAAGATTACGGAGTTCTTTTTCGACAACCTCTTATAGGCTCTAAGAGACAGCTGAGACGAACGACAGAACTACAACAGTTGTTTCGAGAGTCTGGTGCAGGCTAACTTATCTGAATGTGCACATGCAAAGTTAATATGAGGTTTCAAAGGGTTTTTGTCGAGGTGATCGGTAGCTGAGTTTTCCGCTTACAAGAGTGTCCCTTTTTGATCAGAGATTTGAACGTTTTTTATTCATATAACCTGTTTTATTCCCAACTTGTTACTCTTCAATTTACAGGTGCTGTTTACATATGCTGATTGGCTGGGCTATTCGCCCTCTCGTCATATTATATTAACGACGTATCCTAGAAAACAGTTATCTGAAGCAGAACAAACTTTTAGTGAGGCTGGGTTAACTCATGATACAGCACTGGTACTGGAAGAAATATAAGACAATGTTCATATTAGTTAGTGGCAATCTTCTCTAACATACCTGAATAGTACTACCACAATATATCTTGCGTCGGTTTGTGCATTAGGGACCCAGGGGAAGGGTATGGGGGTTCAGACCCCTTCCTCTCAGACCTCTGGGTTTTTTTAAAAGTACTTGTCTCACACAAAAATTTTTACAAATAGTGTAGTTAAACTACATGTTGAGTTTTATTTCTAACTTTGTACTTCGCATAATTTACATTGCAACTTTTCGAAATTCTGTAGCGTAGTCGCACATCGGGCGTTCAAACCTTAACTTTTGGTGGCCCTGGTCAGTTTTAACTCGCCACTGGCGACCGTGCGACCGCCAATTTTTTAGCCCTGAAATATATTATTCAATAAGTACATTGTTGATTGATGCTGGAACGACGAGTTTTCAGCTTATTTGACTTTACACATGGATACTGTTCATCGCATAATCGCGGAATTGGATGAGATCTAAGTCTTCACAATACAACTTTATTGGTTGGCATAAACGGTTATTCCTCATAGTATAGGCTGAACCAAAAGTCTCTCATGTTCCAAGAATGTGCCCGCTATGCTTTTGCTCCGTCAGCAAAAAAGTTTACATTGCATGAAATTTTTTAGATACTATCAATACTTTGAAACTATCAAATGTGAGTATTTACGTGTCTATTTGATTGACGTCTATTACTGAGATGCGTGCCCTGTAGATTTGTCATAGGCAATTCGGCTTGATGTGAAGTGCTTGAGGTTCTGCGGAACATTTCGGAAATACCTGCCCTAAATTCTGGCAGTCTTATAGCATACACGATAGGATTCGCCAGGGAATTAGCGCCTACGAAAGCCGCTAGCGTCATTCGTATGTGAAAAAAGGAACGTTGAGGGTACCAGCCTGAGAGAACATCTTCATGCCAATATGTAATTATTCTGAAAGTTGTAAATGGAAGCCATGTCATCAAAGATGCAAGCGTGACAATAAGTAAGGTGGCGGTCAGCTTCCTTTCTCTGTTGGTTGCACCATGATGTCGAGGATTAGGACTGAATCGAACTTTGATGAAAATAGCAACATAAGAGACACAAATCAAAAATAGAGGAAGTGACCAATATAATATCAAGGTAATTCCTGAGAACAATACTGCAAGATGAGAATTTCCTTGTGTTTTGAATAACACGATTTGAACAGTCTCCCTCAATGAAGTTAGAAACCAAATAGCGGCGATTGCCATTGCGTAAACCCTTCTCTTAATTACACGATGCTCAATTGGAAATAATGTGGCATGCATTCTTTCTAAAGAAATAGCAGCGAGATTTACGAGTGAGGCCATGGGAAACAAATTAGCCAATGGAAAAATCGTTTGAGTTTGCCTCCATAAATCGCAGTAGTGCCCCAAAAGATGATGAACAATCACAGGACCCGAAACTGCTCCAGCCAAAAGATCGACTGTGGCCAGATGGATGATCAAGTATGTACTCTGGCGCTGTAGCTGGCGTTGTTTCACAAATACAATAATGGTGAGGAGATTGAGGATGACAATGGCCAGACATTCGGTGATGGAAGCAACAAGCCACGGGATGCAGTCCGGGGAGTAACTCGGGTATACATACGTGGTATTATTACTGGTTTCCATGAGCATTAGGAAACTGTGAACATTTTCCAAATAAAAAGAATAAATCATCAATTTTCTGACAATTAAATAGAGAATAACACATGAGCGCGCGTACATATGGAATTTCTCTTCGAGTTGAACACGACAAGAGAAATTTCATATTTACAAGCAACCATGTATTATTTTGTTTATCATATAAACACAGTAGCCTTTTTATGACGAGAAAAATCAACTCTATTAATGAATGAAAGTAAAAGGATCGACAATCCCCGACTACAAATCGCAAAGTGTGTTGGCTCGAAATGAAAACATGCGTTGAATCGCTACAAAAACAAACAATGGGCCTAATTTTCAATAAACAAAATTCTCAGTTATTGAATTAGTCCTTATCGACAGAAGAAATCATCCAGGTAAACGGCCAAAATCGGCCTGTGGCAAATCTTCCAGAGATCGATTTTCGTTCTTAGCCGCGAGATATGCCATTACCAAAGCCACTGAATACTTACCTTTTGGTTTTTCATTTCGTATTTTGGTTTTTTTCCCTTTTGGAAAATTTGAACGTCACTGTCTATAATCGTCGTACGGATATTTTAGCTTTTTAGCCGCCATAATCCGAAATTATTCCGAGGTGTCGAAACTCTATCTTGCCGTTAGTCCAGCCTGAATTTATTGTTGTGTAGGCAAATGAAGATCTTCATCGTTTTCCAAAATAGTTAAGAATAAACGAAAATTAAAATTAATATCTGTAACAGGGTAAAAAGTCCTCTTATCATAGCTTACTTTTACCGGCTTTCCAATGACAAATTTCTCCATTGCACAAAACCCTTTTCTTGAATTGCTGACGTCTGCGCACGTTGGTTAATTCTGTAGTGGGAAACTAATATTCTGACCTAAAAATTTCGCGTTTTTTTTATTCATGTATAACTTCCTCGCAGTGACGTTTGCAATACACGCAACTGCTGGAAATAGCAGCTGGCAACTTTTTTTTTTTAGAATTAATTTGCGCTGCGTTCAGTTTTGCCGCTGATATAAACAGAAACAGGAACATGTAAACGTAAGCGGTAGAGAGAGACTCCTGACGGGGTTATGGTTCTGGTTATGGTTCTGTTTTACAGTTCATGTTTAGTCAAACTGTAGCTACAGAGTGCAGTTCAAAGTGTATTTCTACTTTTTCATAACAATTCGTTGGATGGTCGGGACCTCCGTTTAGATTGTCCAAAATTTGACACTTATCCAACTGTATTTAAGTTAAATAACCTTGAAGGGGTCTCTAAAGAAATCCAACATCCTGTGAGTTCCGGAAGGTGGAAGATCTGAGCTAAAATAGAGATGATCAAATGGACTTGTTGTTGTTCAATTGTTTGCAGTGAGACCACACAGCTTCGCCTATGAATTAATCACACACGTTTGAGTTGATCTACCACGATTTCTCCTCTGTGCTTGTCTGAAGGTTACCCGTTCGAGGCGCTGATTACAGCACGCCATAACTCGCCATATGATTTGGAACAGAAGATAAGATTAGCCATTTCCTAACCATGAAAACCGAGACGAGACAAGGTGCGTACCCCCCACCTTGCAACAGTTTCCGAGTTCTTTCCATAGACAGTTATAGGCTCTGAGTGACAGTTAAGACGAGACATAATGTAAAAAAAAAAAAATCATTCATGTTAGGGGCAATCTGAAAGGTGCAATAACAAGACATATGGCGTTCGTGTTTGCGCAATAATGGATCCAGGGGAACGGTTTTGCGCATCGAAATCTTTTTCATCTCAGACTTATAAGTTTGTTTAAATACTTGTATGACACCAAAATTCTTTCAAAGAGAGGATCGCATGTTATTACTCAACATGGAATCTCTACATTTCACTCCTCTCGAAATATCTCTCACCCTATATGAGCTTTGGAGAAAGGAGAAATGTCTGTTTTTCTGAATCAAATTTTGGAATTCCAGGAATAGAATTCCCGTGGATTTGCCCCAAACCAAAATGGCACTATGTCATAAATTTTTGCAAACTTCCGCAACTGCGGTATTCGACGACCTCCCATGGTTCGGACAAGGGCATCGCAAATGTATTTGTGCCGCACTGGAAAAAGATTTGTTAGTAGCTCTAGATCTCGTCGTCAAAGGTAGAGGAGGGACATTTGAATTTCTCTAGGTTGATATATGTAGAGGGAACATTTTAGATCTAAGAGAAGAGAGTCTTAAGACAAAGCAAGAAGCAGAGTTCTACAAGTTTGACAGCAGGTGGAGAGGAAAGGGTCAAAGATTAGGGGTAAGATTTGCCAGTTGAGTTTTATATCCATTACAGCTGTATATTAAAACGTTTTATAAATTCTAAATGTTTTGTGTGTATTTTTGAATACACAAATTAGAATTAGAATTTAAAAAAAAAGAGGGTTAAAAGTATTCAAACAAGTTCAAATATGAATTTTCAGCATGAGTCTTAAGCTCTTAAAGGCTTGGTTTACCGGAGTGGATGTAATGAAAAAGTACATGGCCTGAGTGACTCTTAACAAAATACATTTGTATGATTAAGTCTGTGGTTTAAGCTAAGTTGCTTTTGTTGTTATTATCTTTAAAAAGTCTTGAATTGTTGAGGTTAATCCCATTAAAGACTTAGAAACAGTGACGGTAATTTTTTTTCAAAATTGCTTCTTACTTGATCAGAAGGGACATGTTGAAGAACAAGCCGAAGAAGACTTTTTATCCCAAGAGTTTTTGCTCCATGAAGATCCTAGCTCAGAAGAAGGAACAGACACAGAACAGATTCCACTTAATGATGGTACTTCAAAATTCACTGACAATGGGTGCATGTTTAGAAAAGAACAGATTGAGACAGATTCTGTGCGTCAAAGGAGAAACAGACAGAGTCGTGAGGTAATCTATGTTTATACTGTTCTTAACGTACCACATGAAGAAGTGTAACATTAACCCTTTACATCCTAACATCACTATACACATTCTCCATATTCTTCCCTATAAATTTCCCAAGGTACTGACAAGGGGAATTTGTTTTAGAATCAAGGGCTTCTTTGGTTGGTGATCATTTCCTTTAGTCTTGTGACCTTATTGAGTTATTCAGGGAAATTTAGAGAACAAAGTTTTTGTCTTATTATTCAAATGTACCTGCAGTTTATACTGTAATTACAACTGCATGACTCCATGTAATTTAGGACATTGTTACACCAGACTCTGTATATTTTTTGACACACATTTGGTTCGTTTGTTTAATTGTATTCAAATTTTTTGTGATATTTGTATAGTTCATGGATATCAGGTGTAGGTTACATTTTCTCTTATTTTCATTTGCAACAGAAGTTGTACATGTGTTAACCTAAAAAAAATTACAGATGATTTATTTTACTTTATTACAGTTGCCTGAAGAGCCAGATCCTAAGGAGAATGGGGTAACAGCATGAGCTTGTTGTTCATAGAAGTTTTAACCAAAAGATCTTCATTAACAAAAACGAAAGGCCTATAAGCAATGTTTGTTTTTATTTTATCAGGTAATAACTGTTGCTCTTCGTTGTCCCGATGGAACTTTTAAGAAGAGGAGATGTGCAGTGCAGTCCCAAATTAAGATAACAATTATTCGACGCCCTCTTAGATTTTGGTTATGTAGATTTTACTATACCTGTCAAGTCAGACGCATTATACATGTTCCTCACATCCGTATTTATCAAAAACGTCGATCACAGATTGACAGGACATTTTTCATTAGACACTGCTATTTTTACGAACCTTTGGTATTCACCAGAATGTCCGCAGGGATCTTTTATAATTTTTAGTAGTCTTCATACTTCTTCGGTGAGTTTCGAGGGTTATCAGATTCTTCTTGGAAATTCGGATATTATGAATAAATCACACGTTTGAGTCGATCTACCACTGCCTGTATGCAGGTTACCTTTCAAAATGCTTTGCATCACGCTGTAACTTGCTAAAGGATTTCGAACGAAAGATAAGATCAGCCATCTTCTCATGGAAACCCAAATTAAAGTGGACGAGATGTGTATCTCTTAACGCTCAAAGATTACAGAGTTCTTTTTCGACAGCCTCTTATAGGCTCTAAGAGACAGCTGAGACGAACGACAGAACTGCAACAGTTGTTTCGAGAGTTTGGTACAGGCTAACTTACCTGAATGTGCAAATGCAGAGTTAATATAAGGTTTCAAAGGGTTTTTTGTCGGGGTGATCGGTAGCTGAGTTTTCCGCTTACAAGAGTGTCCTTTTTTGGTCAGAGATTTGACCGTTTTTTTTCCATATAACCTTTACTTTTTGCCATTTTATCTATAGGTGCTGTTTACATATGCTGATTGGCTGGTTTATTCGCCCTCTCGTCATATCATATTAACGACGTACCCTAGAAAACAGTTATCTGAAGCAGAACAAACTTTTAGCGAAGCTAGGTTAACTCATGATACAGCACTGGTACTGGAAGAAATATAAGACAATGTCCATATTAGTTAGTGGCAATCTTCTCTAACATATCTGAAAGGTACTACAACAAGATATCTTGCGTCGGTTTGTGCATTAGGGACCCAGGGGGAAGGTATGGGGGTTCAGACCCCCTTCCTCTCAGACCTCTGGGTTTTTTTAAAAGTACTTGTCTCACACCAAAATTTTTACAAATAGTGGATTGAATGATTTTTATTTCTCAATAAACGAAATTAAATGCGCTCTTTTTCTCACTTGCGTGTCAGAAGAGCCTTACCGTGAACTGTCAGTTAGTCAGTCTGCTGAGGCAAGCTTTACTAGTAACTGAAAATTTCACAACTGTGAGACAATTTTTACGTTGTATTTGTTAATGACTGGGTGTGGAATGAAGTAAGATCTCTTTTCAGAACTTGTTAACACTCGAGCAAAATCTGCTCGTATGTTTGTTCGATAGAAATACGATGGTTTTCTTTGATATTTAAATTTATCGTCTATTTCCCCGTAACATGTTTCAAATATATTATTCAATAAGCACACTGTTGATTGATGCTAGAACGACGAGTTTTTATTTGACTTTACACATGAATACTGTTCATCGCGTAAACGCAGAATTGGATGAGATCTAGGTCTTCATGAAAGCCAACAACTTGGTTGGCTTGCGTAAATGGTGATTCCTCATCGCTATAGTTTGTTCCATGAGGCGAACCAACGAACGAAGGTTGAACTAAAACTCTCACATGTTTCATGAATGTGCCCGCCATGCCAATGGTCTAGGAGAAAAAAAATTTACATGGCGAGCATTAAATTTTTTGGGATACTTTTCATACTTTTAAACAATCATGTGTGAGTATTTACGTGTCTATTTGATTGACGTTCAGTACTAAGACGCGTACTTTGTAGATTTCTCAGAGGCAATTCAGCTTGACATGAAGTGCTAGGGGTTCTGCGGAAGATTTCAGAAATACCTGCCCTAAATTCTGGCAGCCTTATAGCATACACAATAGGATTTACCAGGGAATTAGCCCCAACTAAAGCCGTTAGCGACATTAGTATGTAAAAGAAGGAACGTTGAGGGTACCAGCCTGAAAGAACGTCTTGATGCCAATATATAACTATTGTGAAAGTTGT